GAGCACTACTGTAAGGTTAACCCTGCATGGTTTACATGTTTGAAAATGATTAACAGTTGAAAATATTAGACATTTAGAAAAGTAATCAAAAAGTAATCAAATGTAATCAGTTACATTACTTTAATAAAGTAATTGAAAAGTTACACTACTTATTACATTTTAAGTAGGGTAACTTGTAATCTGTAACCTATTACATTTCCAAAGTAACCTTCCCAACACTGCTGTTTTCTAGTTGAATTCATTTTCAAGTGCAATTTATTCCTGTAATGGACTTTAATTACTCCAGTCTTCAGTGTCACATGATCCTTCAGAAATCATTCTAATATGCTGATTTGGTTTCTTTTTATTATCAATGTTGAAAATAGTTATGCTGCTTAATATTTCTGTGGAAAAATTGAAACATTTTGATGAACTGTGATACATCGCGATTATGAATGATTTATAAGCTGCATTTAAATGAAAAATAATATTTTTTAAATAACAGTCTGTCACTTTTGATCAATTGCATCCTTGCTCAAAATTATTAATAAAATTAATTTGAAAAAATATTAAAAATGACTGCTAACTTTTGAACGGTAGTGTATACAAATGAAATCTGTGTCAATTTCCTTAATGGGCCATTTTTGGCCATGTGAACTGTTAGAAAATAAACTCTCTTAAAACACTTTTCAGACTCTCACTAGTTTAGGTAATTTGTCAGTTTGTTTATTTAATCTCAAGCTCTTCACTAACTTTAGATAAAACTTTATTAGAGGAAAAACTAGTAGTAAAATAAATGTCCTGGTAAAAGGTTTCCAAATTAGAATAGTAACATAACAAACACATTTGGTTTTTAATCAGAAACACATTTACAAAAATTTCAATGGAATCCATTTGCCACACGGCCGCTGCCACTTCCCACATGTGTGATAATGTGGAAGCTGATTGGAAGTGTGCGGCTCTCTCTCACTCACATCTGCTTCCCTGTTCTGAAAAGTTCCTCCTGACAGGAAGCACATGGCCGTGTCATCCGACCCTCTAATGACAGGAACACACTGGCCGCCTGCAGTGGTTTGTGTTAGCCTGAGTAGAGGCGTAAAACACGATGTGAACACCTCTGGCCAGCCTGTGCTCTCTCTGGCCCTGCTAAAGATCCTGGCAGCATCTGCCCGTCCTGGCACCATCTCACAA